ATGCACAATCAATGGATATGTGATGCTTGGGATCTATACACGCCATCAAATTGCTGACAGTCCCAGAAAGGGCACACCTGAGGACTATGGCAAAAGGCGTGCGAAGCCGTTTCCTCTAAGCCAAGGTCACACCGATGACAATCGGGCAAATCCACCTCACCTCATCTGAAGGCTATGTCATTGAGAGATAGCTTATTCTGGACAAATCACCAGGTAAGTGAAAACTCAGGGTTGCTGAGGTAATCCGCCACTGACGCTCAAGACCAGAAAGAGTGCTACTTGGTTGCTGACAAGCCGAGCCGCCTACAGAGAGGATCCTTTGCGACCCCCTCCACTAATTCTTGATACAATAGTCTCCTAGGCCACGAAAGGTCTGTAGGCCGAGGAATGGCCCTCAAGGCCAATCGACACTTGTGGAGGAAATTCGACTGATCCCAGGGCTTACTTAGATGCTCAGCACTGGAAACCTTAGGAGCGATGGTAAGGCAAGAGAATGCAGCCCTGACACTCCTTGACAAGATCAAATCCTTTGTCAATGCGCAAGGTAGGAAAGCCAATCTCAAGGCATGTTGGTGACTCGCTAAGTGTGGTATTAAGCACCCCATGACACGGATGTTGGGCACAGACACCCTTTGTCGACATGATGACGTCTTCCCTCTCATCATTTATTGGGTGGTTATACTTCCCCTCTGTAAGGGACATAAGTGACACATGCCTCAGCCCTACCCTTCAAGGAAAACTGCCTTCAGTGCCAAATCTTGACTGATGCACTGAACTTTGCCAGCACTTCAGACCAATCTTTCAAGTTGGAGTCTGGACCTGAACCACAATCTAAGAATGTGGACATCCCCATCTGTCCAACTAAAGGGCCCCAAAAAATCAACCCCCTTCCAGGCACCTAACCACAAGCTGGAAGACTTGCTGTGGTTAATCTTGGCTCCAATGACCTTCTCGTACTGCTCAAGCAATTTTTGCCCAACTTCAATGACCCTGCGGCATGACACGAAAATGGATATGTCATCGGTGTACGCAGAAACTCTGGATCAAGTCCCACCAGGGACAGTGATTCCACATAGGGCCAAACTGCATGCCCTGTCCCTCAGCTGGCGAAGGAGGGGCTCCAACACTAAAGCATAAAGTAGGAATGAGTAGGAATAAGGACAGTGGGCATCCCTGACAAACTGACAGTGACAGCACAAAAGCACATGACCACTTCCTGTTCACCTGTACCACAACAGGCTGATCCACTTGCAGAAGTTGGGTTTGAATCTGGCTGCCTGCAGGATAGCAACCAGATACTGAGGGTCGACCCTATCAAATGCCTTGGACTGATCCAAATTGATCAGCACAACTTTACAGCACATGCTCATATGTGAACATACATTCCTAGTGGGAGACAACAATAGGAAAAACTTGGCTAAATCTACAAGAAAATGATTATTATTAAAAAAATAAAAAAAAAGTAACCAGTTCATTTGTGAAGATTTGGAGAGAAAAATGTGTTATTGAAATCTACTTAAAGAGTATAAAATAATGGTTGGGGATGAGATGGGTGTAATAGTAAAATAAAATCGAAATTCCTTAACTTAAAACAAAAAAAAAAAAGTGAAAAAAATATAAATAAATATTTGAAACGTTTATTGAATGAACATTATTCAACAGGTTTGACTACCATTTACCGCTCCTGGCGATAGAATATGACTAGAATAATTTTTAAACAGTTGTCGACTAAGTGAAATTGAAATTTTAAAATGAACCTAATTGATGTAGTGATGCAATTCCATCACAATATTTTTATAAGTGGTGCACCTCAGGCCTCACTGAATAATGGAATCACCATAACTGAAGTATTGTTAGTATTTTAAGTTTATCTAGCGCTAACTGCAAATTCGGTTTGTTTAATAATTGCTTATTGAAGGAGTGTCTAACGCAATAATAGTGCAGGTTGAAGAAGAAAAAAACCAAAGTTTTTTTTAATTATTTTTAAAAAATTTCTTCTTCTTTTTAGAACATTCTGAATTTTGATTTAAAAAACATTGTTTCTCTTTGTATCACCAGAACTAGTACAATTTCTTTGTATTACACGCATTATTAATTTGTAAAATCTTGCAAAAATAATTGGCGGATGTTAATGAAACTTTCAGAAACTATTCACAGATGATCAAAATTATTATAAATATGTTTTTTTTTTTATTAAATTCATGGCAGAAATATTTTTTTTATATTTATTACCGCCCCACCCCCGTAACTAATTTATGAAAACGCTAGAAATACGATCGAATCCAGTTTAGTGTGTTACAAGGCTTTGAGGAATGCAAATCGTTTTTTTTTTTGTTTTTAATTGGTGACTCAAAAAAAGACAAAATTTTTAACAAAAATTTCAGACGTGCTAGGAACGATTAAAAAATGTAAAAAAATACCCACAATATATCTTTCCTCTTAATAACAACATGAACATTTAGATGATAAAATTTTGTTTTTGTCAAGTTTGGCATCTTTTACATCATGCTATTTTAGCGATCTCATGGAGGTAAGCATTTAGACGATAAAATTTTGTTTTCGTCAAGTTTGGCGTCTTTTTCATCATGCTATGCTCTTTTTTTTTTTTAGCGATCTCGGGGAGGTACCTACACCTTTTTTTTATTTAAGACAGAAAGTAATGTTTTATTTACGAACGCTAGCCTGTGATGTTAAAGGACAAATTAGAAAGACCAATTCCGCCCCCTTTCCGAAAATGCGCGGGAAAAGTAAAAGTAAAACTTAAGTACGGAAGACCAATGTTGCGGTTTGAATGTTTCAAAGTATGTTCGTACGTGTGTGTTTTTGCGCATAGTGTCTTTCCAAGGAAAACGTATAGCGTCCCCAACAAAAGCGGGGAAAACTTAAACTTCTACGAGAGCTTTATATAGTCACTTAGTCGCAGTGTGAAAGAGTCGAGTATTTATACTTGAGAGATAGCGTCCCCTAGGAACAATTTTGGACAGTTAGGAAATTAAGGAGTTAACTCCGACATACTCATCGGCCACTGACTTTCTAAAACAAACAAAGCGAATCCAATAAACGCATTAATTTAAATGGAAGTTAAATTTTGCTTTTATTCGGAAGTTTACTAAAAAGTTAATCTGCAAAGAAAAAAATACATTTTAAAAACATTGGCACGTTCATTCGGCTCATTGAACCGTCGTTATAAACGCAAAATGTAAACAAAAAAAATCTCTTTTTAAAATCCAGTATTTGTCCTAGAAAATTTAAGGATTAATTAACAGGATTTTATAAAAGTAATGCTTACTTTTTGCTTAAAACATAAAAAATAACGTTTATTTACACAAAACAACCAGTCATAGGTCAATAACAGTAATTTTCAAATTTCATCCCTGACTTCAAAAGCACTCGAAAAATTAAAGAAATACGGAATACCATTAATGCAATAATAAAAACATCTGATATTTAAAACTAAATTATCTTTAATCTTCTCTAATCAGTGGTTTAAGAATATTTTTTATTCTACGCTTTTATGAAAATAATTAGAACGAATAATTTTGTATACGTAGAAGTATAAAAAATAAATTAATTAAAAATTAATTAAATTATATTCATCAGTTTAACACATCGCTTTTATTTTTATTACTTTCTTACCTGTTTGAGGTTATAAAATGTTTATTTGAACTCAATATTTTTTTCCCATAACTATTATTCTGAATTTAAGAGTTATCCGAATCAAACCGATAGGGAAGAATAGACAATCAAAGGAGGTAATTCATAATTATTTTCTTTTTAGACTTCCGTACAAAAAATTTAAAAATTGCTAAAAGAAAAAAAAACTTTTAAAAATGGTTCATGCTTGAAAATGGCATTAAAAAGTAAGTAAACTAGTTTTTCCAGTCTTCAAATATTTAACAAAAATGTTACGAACAACTAAGGGAAGGAATGAATTGAAAATTACATTGAAAAATTACAAGTAATTTTTTTAAAATAAATATTCCGAGTAAATTTGTTTTCCCGCCAAGTCTGAGAGAAAATAATGCAAGAACTAAAAAATAAATAAAATAAAAATTGAGTTTTAATAAAAAAAATTTTATTGAATTATTTTTGGAAAGGTGAATTTTCCGTAAGTTCACACTTGATATAGCATTTTTCATTTTTTACTTTTTTTTTTTTTTTAATGAAATAATGTCAGGGATTTCTTTATAACTAAGAAAAAAAAAATTGGCGAACAAACACCGTCATCAAATTAGAAAGTGTACACTACACAAGATATCGAAAGGAGTAGATGGAACTGAGCCCTGCCAAATATTCCTACAAAGGTTTTCTAATAAAATGACCTTCAGTAAAAACAGTTAATTAATGAATGAGTATTCAAAATTTCGTTTAAATCGGATAATTCCCCGTTTTCTTTTTTGGCAAATTTTTAAAAACAGTGGATAGCGATTTCATTTCGGAAAAAAATGAATTCATTTTTTTTTAGTGGTACCTAAAAAATTTGATCAGATAGATATTTAATACGGATTAAAATATAACTAAAGAAGCTAGAGCAGGCATGGATGAATATGATTTTGCATTTATACACGAAGTGACAATACTAGGAGAATGTTTACTTTGAACATTTCTGCTGTTTATAGTGTTTCTGTTTACGTACGGTTTGATTGAATCTTCATCGAGTGAAAGTAAAAAGAGGAATGGAAAAAAGTACCTTAACTCATGATGTTTTATAACATTTAAAAATGGAATAATGAGCATATCTTTTTAGAACCTAATATTTTCTAATGATAAGTCAAAGTGTAATAATAGAATCTAAAATTTAGATTTTATTAAATTTATCATTGTACAATTTTTAATATAATAATGAATAAAATAATAAATCATATAACTTTATAACTATAAACTAAACAATAGGATTCACACCGACCTCGCAGAAAAGAAAAAAAATTGTACCATCGAGCTTCCATAAAAGCAAAAAAATTGTTGTAAAGCAATAAACTTATTTTTACAACTGAGCTTACCGTAGCTTCGAAGTTTCCAAATATGTGAGTTGTTGACGTTTTCTAATTCGGCATCTGTAATTACCTTGACTTCCGCTGCCATGGAATTGAGTTTAATAAGCACATCAACAAGATCGTTACAGGTGATGGTGTAAACACAAACGTAAATGGAGCGTCGTGTCGAACGTAAAAGAGCAAAAAGTTGTCCCAAAGATGTTTCTTCTTCTTTATGGGAGAAACGACACTCGAAGTTTAGACATCCGTAGTCGTTAACGAAAAAGGCCTTACAAGCAACTACTTTATCCGGAAAAAATAATACCTTAGTCGTGCAAGGTTTCGCTTTTTTTGTGTCTTTGTTAGAACGAGTGACAGTTCGTAAACTTGTATGATATTTTTTGTACAAGTTGTAAGTTATAAATACAAATGTGCCTGTTAACAATCCAACTAAGAAAGACCTTTTTTCTAATACCATTTTTAAAAACAGGCACACGTGGTGGGTAAAACTCTTGATTTCTTGCAACGAAAGGAATTATGAAAAAAAGAGAACACGAAACCACGATGAATTTAAACCAGTGAAAATGAAAATCAAATAAAATAAACCTTCCCTTGTAGTTTCAGTTTTATTATAACGTTGACTTCAGGTGATATTTACGATGCGCTATATTTTACTATGGATGGCCAGCATAAGCTTAAAATTTGTCAAACATATTTCGATTAAAAAAGAAAACGATGGTAAATATTTTTGGTTATTGTAGAGAATTAAGTTGTTACTAGTTGTTAATGTTACACAAAGCGTTTGGCGAAAATGGCAAAATGTTTTGTCGACTAAAAAAAATACTTAAAAAAAAAAATATTCAGTTTTCTGTTTTTAAAACAATATTGTTTTCGCACATTTCCGTAGCTAACTAGTAAATTAGCACAAACCTTTAAATTAAAAAATGACTCGAGTGAAATTTGTTAAAAAATAAAGCAGATTTGCAATTTCATTCAAAATCAGTCTTCTTTTTTTTTTCTCTCTCTCTCGTACACTAAACACGTGGTCACTTTTTTTCCTTTGGTTTCAATGTTTCTGTCCGTGGGTGTCCCTTCTTTTCGCTTTGTAAGAAGAGTAAGACTTAACATTTAACAAGAGATATATTGCAGGGAAACGGAATAAGTAAATTTTTACAGTAATTAATACAATAGATAGCGTATTTTATTCGTTTATTTAAACTCGGATAGGTACGAAGAGTAATTTGTAAATTTTTTTTTAAATTTGAAGAATATTTCTGTTTTATTATTATTTTTTACAAAGGAGAGCCTCTAACATTTTACGTCCACTAGAATTTGTTCATTAAAGAAACACTAAATTTACTTATCATAGCTTAAAAAATGTATTGTAGCACAAGGCCGCAAGTATGGAACATAGTGAGGATCGAAAGCAAAAAATTAAAGAGAGAAAAAAAAATCATTTTTTTGAAAGAGACGATAATAAAAACAAAATAAAATCTGGGCTTTTTTCCCCAAGAAATATTTTATTTTTTCTTTTATTCCTATCGATTAAGAATAAGATATCACGAATCTAAAAAAAATGTTTTAATTTTGGTTGTTTCCCAATTTGCTCTGTAAATTTATTGTAAAAAAAAAAAAAAAAAAAGAAAAATAGGTCACGAAGGGAAGTAATAATAATTTCAATTCATATTTCGCGGCTGTTTACGAATTTTGTATTTTTAAGCATTATTTTACTACACAACACAAAAATAGCTAAGTAAGAATTATGACTTTAAATATTAACTTTTTTTTTTAAATTTTAACAATCGCATTAGATATTTCAAAGGCTTTTGACAAGGTGGTGCATATTAGAGGGTTACAGTACAAGCTCTCTAGCTATGGAATCACTGAAAGAGTTTTCACAATTATCAAGTCCTTCCTAACAGGTAGGTCCCTGAGGCCTAAGCAATCAAAACAGGTGTCTCCCAAAGCTCAACTCCTCAGTTCAAACCGCTTTCTACTTAACATAAATGATCTGCCTAAGAGTATACTCCAATCATTTGTGAATATCTGTGCTGATGATAAATGGTATATGGGTGTGCCACCGAAGTTATAGATGACCAGAGCTTGGCAGCTGATCTCTTCTCTGACCTAGTTCTAACCTGACCTGTTCAGTGGTGAAAAAAACTAGCTGGTCACAATGCCTTGAAAACCAAACTAGTGATGTTCCATCATCACAAGTAGACCTTGCTTTTTCACCTATCACAATAAACAGGTGTCCTCTCATGCACTCAAGGCACAGGGCCTCTCTATTGGGACAATCCAGACCCCATGTGGAACTCACACTAAAGGTGCTGGAAAAACGCTCAGTTCTATGTACTGCTTTAATAAGTATCTGGATCCTGCTATCCACTACCTTTACAAGAGCCAGATCAGGCCAAAAATGGAGTACTACTGCCATATGGCTGCCCAATCTTCCCTTTCCAGTCTTGATAGAGTTCAAAAGCATCCCTGTGTCCTTGTGGGTGATGAATTATTTTCCACCCTATAACCACTTTCCCACTGGCAAAATGTTGCAAGTTTCTTGCTCTATTGCTATTTCCATGGAAAGTGTTCAAATGAACTACATTTTTTAGTTTTACCAGTTATAACCTTCATGGCTAAGACCTGCCCTGCCATGCACATTGTAGTGAACAGTCCTCATACCCTTCATATTTCAATTATGAGATTTAAGTACCAATTTGAATAGCTTCTTCCCATGAACTACTACTATGTGGAACCAATTCCCAAGAGGATGTGCCCCTAATCACTACAATGTTAACCTGTTCAGGTCTATGATTTGTAGAGCAAAGATAGAAATAAACACCAAGACAGTTACACAACAAATGACAAAAAAATCATGCATCCTTCCAGTTTGTAAATTAATCCTTTGAAAATAAATATTTAAAATCTTTCAACCAACAGGTTACATTACTGCTGAAAATAAAATACATGCTTCATGATCTCTTTGAAGAATATATAAGCAATGTTTCTAGACCAGAAGGGTTGCCAATAAGGAACGGCAACAGATGACAAACACACAGCTTCATTCACCCATCTTCCTCATCAAACTATGTGACACTTACACTTTCTACCTCATTTTCTCCTTTGCATCTTCTTTCTCAGACATACATGCAAAGAAATCAAATTTCTTTTCATCTTAACAAACAACTACTAACAAAGAACTTTAACACTCATATCGAGTGGAGAAAAATTTAGTTGTAAAAACATGAAAATAAAAATATTTTATATTTAAAAAACTTTCTTGCCTCTTTCTTTGTTGTGTGTTGATTCAAATCCACAACACATTAACTGTTATTTTCACCACATATCCCCATAAAGTGTGCCTCTTACCGCTTACTCTGTAACCTTTTACCTTGAGTAGCTCTTGGGCTTTGTACAGGGTGAACATTATTGTAAAAAAAGAAATTAAACTATTTGAAGGTAAGTAATGCCATCTGTCAAGAAAATATTGTACTACAGTAAACTTATTGTAATTTCATAAAACTCTGAAAGAATAGTTTTGTCTTTCCTGAAATGTGTATACACTTTTTTGGTGGACTCTGTATATTGAGATTGTGCAAAATGGATTGGACTTTAACAAATTTATTTTTTTGATTATTAATTTAAGGAATTTTTCACTTTTCTGGTTTTATTTAGGTTTTGCTTCTTTTTCTGTTTCTGTCTTTGTTTGTTTCTTCTTTCATAAAAACGCCTAGTTAATCCACTGATAACAGCCAAAATTCCGTGTCCTGAAATTCTCATTTCTTTGTATCCTTATACCTTTTATTTTCTTGTAACCTGAAATTTTCTGCCCAAGTAGTTGATACTTATATAACTCCCAAATAGGCTACTGGCAAGTACCAAATTTTGGTTAAAATCACCCTCCTGATTGGTCAGAAAATCCAAAGGTATATATCTTTGAAATTTGAAAATTAAATTATAAACCATTCACCTTTGAATGGCTTATTTTCGGTAGTTATTTTTTGTTGAGTCATGCTATTTTCACCACAAATGTATTAGTTAATTTTTTATTAATTTCCCAGCTTTCCTTAAATTTTTTAGAACACTTCTCTTAAAAGAAAGTAATAAACAAACCTAGACTCTGTTATAATATTTCTTTTTATCTTCACCTTTTTATTAAACATTTAATATGCATTTTGTTTTATATAAATTTTTATATTCTCCCCTCAAGAGAAAAATCAAGAAACAAATTTAGTTTAGTGTATTATTTTATTTTCACCTTTTAATTTTATATTACTTTCTTATGAAATTTTTCCATACTTACATAGAAAAGTTTTCAAATTAAAAAGTACAAAAGTCAAAGGGTTGAGAAAGAAATCTCTATCTCAGGAGGTGCTGGTTTTCTGGGCCCTTTAGACAAAATATTCTGATTTTAGAAACAGATGTTTACAAATGAGATAAATCTCACAGGTTTAGGGGAAGACATTCTTTGTTATGGGAATTCTTGTAGGTTTTTAAGGGTTCTTCTTTCTTCTTCAACACTAGCATCAGTTTTTCTTCCCAGATAGCAATCATTTTCTTGCTTGAGTGCAGTTGAATCTCTTCTGAGCTTGTCATACAAGATTTCTTCTTTATATATCAAACAGGTAGCTCCATACTGGATCAAAATCATGTCCTTGGGTGGGCGGGTATACTTTTTATCCCCATTGGTTAAAAAATCAACTTGATCCACTTAATCAAGCTTACCAGGTAGGAGATGTGTTGCTTTCCTCTGGCCTTCTAACATTCAGTCTGCTATGTGAGTAACAAATTTTCCAAGCCACCTTTCCTCATTATGTACACCAGAATTTCAACTGTCTCTTTCTGATGTTAAGCATAAATGTCCTTTTTGTTGCTATGTTTAGTCCATGGTATTCTCAGCATCCTTTCGTAGAACCACATTTCTGTTGCTTCAAGTCTCTTCTCTTCTTTACCTGAGAGGAGATTTTCCAGCATTCACTACCATATTGGAAGACTGATACTACATAACAGTTCAGTACTCTTTTCTGTGTTTCTAATGATATTTTTCTGCTTTTTAATACTTTGCTCAGCTTTTGGAAGGCATCTTTTACTATCCCAATGTG